TGAATGTTGAGTCTCCTATAATCTACCACCAGACGATGATCTCCAGTTTTCTTCCTCACAAGTAGGACGGGACTAGCGTAGGGTGATCTAGTTTCCGTGACTATTCCATTGTCCTTCCACTCTCTGACAATCTCCCTGATTGCTTCGCGTTCACTTGCAGTCGTCTTATACGGTCTCAGACAGACTGGCTTGCTTCCATCAACCTCCTTAATGTCCATCTTGGTGACATCGGTGCACCCTAATTCCTCCATGCCAAGAGCGAAACAGTCTCTATACTCGTTTACTACATCTAGGATTTCTTGTCTCTCTTTCGAAGTCAGAGAATGATTGACGTTGATGTCCTCAGGCAGTATGGGGCGCTTACGTTTCATTTGGTCTTGTCCTTCCCTCTTCTCTTCATTTTTAGTCTGAAACGAATCCTCTGCGACGTCCAGGTTAACAACAATATCATCAAGGTTTAGTAGTTCAACTCGCCCTACACATTGGTTCTTCCTTACTCTCAACTTGCCCTTGCCAGCTGAGATGATGGGTACGGTCGTCTTTCCATCGACCACTTCCAATAGGGAATCGACACAGGCGTCATCTACTCCTGTGAACAATACATATCCGTCCTTTACCTCGTCTGTGATTGCACTTGTAAAGTTAATGGAGTCGCTCTCCAACTGAACAGTTTCGGTTGCTCTCAGTTCGATGCGACGCGACTTGATTTCTTCTTGCAGATTAGTAAACGGAAATTCGGATGAATAGCCAATATGCAGTTCCTTACCGATTCTCGCGAAGGATACGTAGGGCAGATCTGTCCATGTTCTTCCAATTAGTAGGTCATAAGGTTGGGCATCATCGTTAACAATGAATACAGTGATTTCCCTTCCGACGATGCCATCAATCTCCAGGTCGACTGTCGTCTTCCCAACGGTCCTGGCAGCTGGCGCAGTCTGGTTACCGATGCCGTACAGACTAGTCGAGTCTGGTTCGATGTCGACGCTGATCCTCCTTGCGACCGATTCTCTCATTAGACAACTGCTGCTCCCGGTGTCTATCATTGCCTTCACGGTTTCCTTGTTGTCGATCTTGACATCCTTCAAATATACATCTGGCGGGACAGTCTCCAGTCCTTCGACTTCCAGGTTGGCTACTTTTAGTCCTTCTTTGGGTCTTGTGCAATTCCTTTCCTTGTGTCCCGTTTGACCGCATCCTCGGCATGTCAACGTAGTCCTGGGTGCTGGGCAGTCTCTGGCAATGTGTCCAAACTGATTGCAGTTGAAGCACTTCGGTTCTCCCTTGTCGTTTCTGATCGTACGGTTGACCATTCTCCTCAAGGTGTTAGGGTACGTTTCACTGATTTCGTTCCTTGCAGCGTCTTGACCCGAAACATTCGTTCCTTGTTTAGTCTCTTTAACTTCGCTTTGGTTGGGGAATCTCGCAGATTTCTGCTGAAACGACGGTGGTATGAGGTGTTTCGCATTCCAATGCGGAGGTCCCATCTCGGTGCGAACATTTTCGTACTCGTCCAGTTTATCCGCCAACTCATCTGGGTTGTTTAACTTGGTCCAATCGTCAATGAGATGATTACGCAGCACATTTGGAACTTTTTTCTTTAGCTGGTTAGTGACGGACAAATCCTTTAGGGCGTCGAAATTTTCCACGTTCATTCCTTCGATCCATTCGTTGAAATATCCTCGCAATTCGAAAGCGAAGTCTCTCCAGGAACCCTTTTGAGATCTCTCGTGCTTCTCGAATTTTTGTCTGAATTGTTCGGGGCTCAACTTGTACCGTTTTAGGAGCAACCTTTTCACGAACCTATAATCGCCGCTTTGTTCTTCTGTTTCCCGAGCGATTAATTGAGTCATTTCGTAAGGTAGCAATCCTAGGAGGCTGAACGCCCATTGGTCTTCATCCAATCCTAGTCGCTTTGCCTGTCTTTCGAAAAGAATTAGGTAAAAACTCAAATCATTGTCCTTCGACTCGTACTTGGGCATCAGTTTACGTATCTCGTAATGTGCGTCATTGCTGGTACTTCGAGACGTATCGTTGTTTCCGCGTGTAGTCTGGATGCGCAGCTTCTCAAGCTCGAATTCCATTACCATTTGTTCTTTTCGTTCCCGTTCTATACGTTCTGCTTGCTCTGTTTGTGCTGTTTGTTCCCGTTCCTCGATCAGAGTCTCCAACAGTTGTTTTGCGAATTCTTCTTCGTAGGATTGGCTATTCAAAATAAGGTGTTTTAAGTCGACGATCCTGCTCTCTGGCGGTACTACCTCGCCGAGTTCATACGCCAACTTGCTCAAATCGCATTTCCTTACTTTCGCTAAATAAGTCATGTTTTTTTTTTTTTTTTTTCAAAAGGAAAAATAAACAAGGCAAAAATTTTTAAAATAAACAAATAAAACTGACTAAACCAGATACGTACTGTTTCAATTATTTCTTTAAACGAAATCAACTTTTCTTTGGTAATTTTGAGACAATACTTTTTTTTTCTTTTTACCGCGATACTTTGCGATAATACTTTTTATTTGTTTCTTCGATTTACTTTAAAAAATACTTTCTTTAGAATACTTTACTTTACTTTAAAATACTTTCTTTAGAATACTGTACTTTACTTTAAAATACTTCACTTTACTTTAAAATACTTTCTTTAAAATACTTCACTTTACTTTAAAATGCTTTCTTTAAAATACTTTCTTTAAAATACTTCACTTTAAAATACTTCACTTTACTTTAAAATGCTTACTTTAAAATACTTCACTTCACTTTAAAATACTTTCTTTAAAATACTTCACTTTAAAATACTTCACTTTACTTTAAAATGCTTACTTTAAAATACTTCACTTTACTTTAAAATACTTTCTTTAAAATACTTCACTTTAAAATACTTCGCTTTACTTTAAAATGCTTACTTTAAAATACTTCACTTTACTTTAAAATGCTTACTTTAAAATACTTTCTTATCGAGATGATTTTGCAATAATATTTTACCGAGGTGACTTGTAATAATACTTTTAGGAATAGGTAATTAAATTTCGTACATACCATGCAACTCCTCTTACGTTGATCGGTCACCGCGCCACGTCCTTCTCGTTTCCAAATTATTCCAGTGAATCTTCAATTTTCTTCAGGACCATCCCACTTCTGAATTTCTGTTGGCTTCCGTAGGCGTTTCTTACTGGGAAAAAGAAAGAGAGGATCCAATGAAATAATTTAGTAGTGTTTATTAGAACAAAATCATTATAGTGAACAACAAATATAACAGAGAGTACCGTCGTCTTCCGGGTATTCCTTCTACTGGGGAGCTCGGATTCTATATTCTGTGCGTTTATAATCTGTTTATCTGTGGCTCTCTGGTCGGGACTGCGCCTACAATAGATAGATGAATATAAATTTAGGCGGAAAATTATAAATACACATATTTTTCATCACTACTTAAAAAATACACAAATAAATAAAGGTATTCTCTCCCGTCAAAATAGACGTCAAAAATAGACCTCATCTATTGACCGTCCCCACAAACTAGCAGACCCAGGTCGATGACAACACCAGCTTTGAGAAACTGAGAAACGTTCACTTGGAGACCATGGTTTCGAGCTAATGGCCCTCTTCAGTCCAGGGCCAACATTTTGTTTTATGTAGTCGGACGTCTGGCTTCCATATCACGAGAGAAAGAATGGGTGGTGAGACAGGGATCAATAAGGAAGTGATGCTAACGCTATTTGTGGTGTCACCGCGGCAGAATGGAATAAGCCGAACAAAAACGCCAGGGGACCGAAAGCGCGGAGGAATCACCGCAGATAGAGTCTGGTGAGAGGAGTTTGACAACTAAGTTTTTCTAAAGAAGTCACCGGACACAACCCGGTTGACAGCAGCTGACCGCGGAGGTACACTGAGTTTGCCAGGTCGAGTTGGCGTCTGGACTTCACTGAGCGGGTTGTTCTGTGGAAGTGTGTCGGTCGGCAGCGGATCAGCTTACAAGTCGATGTCGTCCAGGCCGGACTTGGGCAGGTTGTGTGGATACTTCGCAAGATGTGACATGCATGGTGACAAGGATCCTTTATACGACGGAGTTTGGGGCAAGTTATTGTTTTCCTTCCAGTTCGAACCATTCTAATAAAGCCCTAGACTCAGTTGTATCCTTTCCCTAACTCATAGGTTGCCTTTGTACCATCCTGATCAGACAAAGATCTCTATATGGGTAATATGGGTCTGTTTGTGTATGTGTGTGTGTGTTTTTGCTTGTTTCTTATACATTCTTAAAATATACTAATCGGTCCGTTTTATTGTCTAAATCGCATCTTCTGGCATCGAAACTATGATGAGTGTTCCTTCCAGATATAGCTATATAACCTGTGAAAAATTAATACAGATTGGTCACATATTGTAGGAGTGTTTAAGGAACAAACACACAGACCCATATTCCTTTTTATTTATATAGATCGATTTTACGAAAAATCCTGATATGATTGGAAAAAATGGAGGTCATTTTCGAAATAATCACACTAAATAACATAAAAACTGGATAAAACTTCTGTTGAATTTTCAAAATATTCAATTTCGCAGGCCTTTGTAATTATATGCAGATATTTATAAAAGTCTTTTTACAATTATTTTTATTGTTATTGTTGGATAGTTTTAGAAGCCAGCTCTCAGATTTATAAAATAAATTATTCAAACTTTAAACATTTTTAGATATAGAGAGAAACGAGTTGAATACCTCGTATTTAAGGCTACATAAATTATCTAATTTACATCGTTCAAACCAGATTGAACTTATACTCAAAGAATAATCATTTTCTTGGTTCAGTTATACAATAAGCTGGGACAAGTCTCGACTTCAAATAATTAGAAATATCTTTTTAATCAAATTATAATTTTAAATTATTTCAAGTTTTAACCAATAATTCAAAATATAATTCCATATGATTGCATTGTCATCGGGAGTAAGTAAGTGAAATAAAAGATAAATAGTGTCAAATATGTAGTAAAATTTGTTTAAAATCCTTTTTTATTGAGCTAAAATAGCTCAGTCGGGAGAGCGTTAGACTGAAGATCTGAGAGTGCCTGGTTAGATCCCAGGTTTGGCATCTTTTGCCCTCCTGCAAGGTCTGGGGGTCACCTCTACTTCACCAACTCGCCATGTGTAAACAGCCAGGACAAGGTGACTGTGCTCAATGTAACACCTGTAAACTGAGAGACGAAATAAATAAATATAGGCTTTTTTAATATAAATGATAGAAAAGAAGAAAGATAGAGCTCAACATATACGGAGAGAATTTTATTTATTTGGTTTACCCGGGTTCCTGGAAAGCGCGTACAAATACCAGGGCTTGAGAGAGTTGATAGAGAATTTAGAGAAACATATAATATCAGAAAAAATGAAAGAAAAAATAGAAGATAAAAAGGTCAGGTGTTGAAATCAAAATAAAATATCTACATATCTTCTTCTATATATATATAAATCAATGTTTGTTTGTTTGTTTGTATGTCCGGTATACAAATTCGCAGTAGTTCACTAATTCAAACCAAAATTTCCATACATAGGTAAAAAGATACGTGGAAGACGATTGGCTATTTTAAAAAATATATAAATCAATTATTAAAACTATTTATTCAAATTATTCTACTTAGCTCACGAACAGCGCCCTCTATCAAAGATTAGATTAAATTATGCTGATGCAAACAAATAGATAATGCTAATAACAAACAATTATAAAAATATCTTATCTAAATATATATAACTCGGGTATATATGCACACGGGTCAATCCCGGGGCGAAGCCCGGGTCACCCGTCTAGTATATATAATAGCTTTTAAATTATATTTTAGCATAGTAATCTATATATATAAAATTCAATGTCTGTCTGTCTGTTTGTTTGTTTGTACTCTATAGATTCAAAAACCATACATCCAATCGCCGTGAAATTTTGGGATATTATTAGGTATATCACCGGGAAGGTTTTTGAAAAATAATTTCCTGAAAATCTTGAATATCCTTAGAGTTATTTGCAGATTTGTATATTTAACTCGCAAGCAGCGCCCCCATTGTGACGATGATAACAAGTTTTCTTATCACTAAGTTTGTTATCTTAAATATTATTTATCAAAAGTAAGATTATCTCAGGATGACACGGCAATGTGACACGGGAAAAAATGTTCACTAGATAAAACTATGATTTTCTAATGTAGAAAATTAGGAAAGACAAAATTCAGGATGACACGGAACACAGGGACCGGGAAAAAATGTTCAATTTATCGAGAGATTCAAATTTATGAGTTTCAAATTTTCAAAATATATCTTTTTTTTTTAATAAGTTTTTAGAGAATTGTTTTAACAAATGTTCGCTAGACAAACCTTTACTCGGGTAAAACCCCGGGCGAAGCCGAGTACGTTTTATAAGTTTATAGAGAATTGTTTTAACAAATGTTCGTTAAACAAACATTCACTTGGGTAAAACCCGGGCGAAGCCGGGCACATCCGCTAGTTATATTTATATTACATTAAGTAAAATTAACACCTCTATTAGCAAGACATATATCTTAGACATACTTTATAATTTAGCTTTTTTACGATAAAACTAAAAAAAAGTTTCCGACTATCTTATTCTCGGCGTGTTCAATCAACGGGCCACTCTTCTAGATTTTAAATAATAGAAGATCTCCACAGCAAGTGATTATTCTTATTTTTGATTGGGCGGGCTATCGTTCTATTATTCCATAAAATACCTAATGTTGAAAAAATATATATTTTTATATAAATACAACAACAACAACAAAGCCTTAATTAGGAACACTCGTCACATACAGGATTCTCCCAGATGGGTAAACACAAGTAAACATAACAGTTATCTACAGTAAGTGGAGAATAACATCAATCTTTCCTTAAGTTGGGTCACTCTTCTGTGTTATACTTTTTGACTGGGCTGTTCTCCAGAATGTGTGAAAAGCCAATGCATTGGTCCTGCTTGTCACTACTTATTTCAATAAAACATATGGTGAATTGTTTTCATAAACAATCTTCTGGCAGAGAATCACTCTCTCATCCTCCAAAGCCAGACAGTAAAACATGTAGTTTGGAAATTCCTGGATAAATTCACTACTACATGGAGTGCACTTCAAGTTCTTGGATTTCAACAATAGAACGTGATTATACACAGCAATAACACGCCATCTATATAATACAAATGAAAACACCAAAACGCGGATGTTTCTTTTCACAAATAAATCAAACTTCTACTGTCCTTATTTCCAGGATTCCAACCTTCAGTGTTGCATATATAAGCAGAATGATCCAATACAGTATTAGAGCTCTAAAGAAGCGATGTGGTAGATTAAATTAGCGAAACCGCTTGGAGGGTTCACCACTGATGAGCCAAGCCCTCCCAATATATTTTTTTCATCGCAGTAGGGGCAGTAGAAGTTTGATTTATTTGTGAAAAGAAACATTCGCGTTTTGGTGTTTTCATTTGTATTAGAACGTGATTATGTTTAAATATTATGAAAAATTAATTTTCACTTGGGCAACGCATCGCTCTACTGTCAATGGGATATCTTTGTTGACGTAAGACACCATAGAAGTTGAGGTATGCGAAATACCTATAGTGAGAACAGAGTACAGAATTTCTTATTCTTACATAACCCAACTGTATAGAATGTAGTTAGGGCCTCCAATCCCGGAAAACGTAATCCCGGAGCCAAATAATGATCCCGAAATTCCGTGATTCTGCTCGAAAAATCCCGAGATTACTGGTTTGTGCATGAAAACTCGCTCAAAAATATATTTTTCTTATCAAGCATTTTGGTAATCAAACAGATGATGAGATAGCATACTTTTGACGTTTTGTTTATACAGCTGCATTTCGTGTCTTTTTTTCTGAGAGATTTGAAATTATTTTCATGCACTAATAACGAAGGGTTATTCTGCAAGATCTTTCCAAAATGGCAGCCTCTAGAATGAAAGTATGCAGCAGTATACATGGGGGAGGCCCCAGTTTTTGTTGACATGCAAATAGTGGCTTCTTAGATAGTAGCGGCATCCCTTTATTTTTGTGGCGGATCTGCGTGTAACATGGACCCGCCACTAACCTCTTAACTGGATTTCAACTTTTTTTATAATTTTTTTTTAATCTATGTTTATACTCTCCATCCTGTACTCTGTATGCGTGAGTCATCATGAACGCACTGCTCTGCTGTTCATTTTGTGAAACCCTCGCTAGCTTTTTTGTCATTTAATTTAAATTAAATTTATTTAATGTCATTTCATTAAATGCTTCGTCACTATCAAGCATCAGCCTAAAGTAGTTTTCAACTTATACGAACATAAAACAAAGTATCTAAAACAATATTTTCGGACCTTGTTATTTCTCAATAGAAAACGCGTCGGACATTTTTGGTAAGCTTATCACTTCTTGATTGTGATGGCGAAGTTTATTCCTTTTAAATCAGAAGGAATCTGGTGCTATTACCTACGAGACGGATCTGGCCAAAATGCACAGTGTATAGCGCGCAAAAGGATTTTGAAATGCGTCGGTGGGTCAACAAAAGGGCTGCATGTACACCAGAAGGCGGTCCACGGAATCGAAACTTCGAAGAGAAAGGTTAAAGACGAAGTTGATACACAGACCCCTGCAAAAAAGACCCTCAAGATATCAATTTTCGATCATTTTTCGTCTCATAGTCTCGTGATCATGAGATTACATTTGCTATAATTACAATTAATTTTAATCACAATTGCTATAATTATATATAGAATTACGAGTAATTATGTTTACATTCTAATGCAAATTATTTGTTTTGCAAAGTAATCGTAATTACAAGGTAATGTATTACTTTGAATGGATTACTGCACAGCACTGCATTAAGAGATGTGGTCTAAGAGTTCCAAGAACAGTATTTTTTTTTCCAGATGTGTGTACAGTAATTGACAGCTAATTTCAAACTGTAACCCAAAAGCAATGATTTAGTTCATAAGCAGGCGCAAAATATATGGCTTTCAGATTCTTTTCATCGAAGTAAGTGCCACGTCATTGGCACTATATAAAATAAAAAATTAAAAATATAACGAACGAAACGATATACCTCTTGGCGTAGAAAGACGAAAATGTTTTTCAATCCCGGGATTGAGAAAAAAGCAATCCCGAATCGCGGGATTGAAAATATGTACAGGGATTGGAGGCCCTAAATGTAGTTCTAATAACTAAAGGAATGTTTCTTTGTAAGATTTTTATAAATAATTGCCTCATCATCGTGAGTGAGAAAATAGCATTAAAAGATGAAATAGTCAAAATTTTCATGAAAACCTTTATAAAGAAAGCTATTTTATATGACTACAAACAAAAATTAGGATTTATTAAAAAACACTTTAAGAGAATAAGTAAGAGTAATTTTTATGAAACCTAATATCTTGCTAATTAGTAAAATTCACGGAACGGCGTTTTTATTTTTTAATAAAAAACTTTACTAGATATTAAGGAACTACTGTATTTAAGTTAGTCTTTTTTTGATCTATATAAATCTTGAAATAAACTTTTACGTCAGTCGAAAGTTTTTTTAAAATTATGTCTTCAAAATGACTTGTAAAAATCTTGGAGGTCCGCCTGGCCAACAGATAAAAGACAATGTTTTAGTATATATATATACAGTGAAACCTGTCAATAGCGCCCCCCTCTAAATAGCGCCCGATTTTAAATACGTAGTACGATGCGATTTACATTAAAAGTGACCTGTCTATAGCAACCCCTTTCTATAGCACCCTATTTTGGTGAGTCCCAAGAGGGGGCGCTATAGACAGGTTTAACTGTATATAGAAGATTGTCCGAACGTTGCAGTAGTCAGATTGTTCCCAGATATAAATGATCTATCACAATAACCACTTTGTTTATATGATTTTATGAACTGCGTAGATTAATAAATGTAAATATTTCTCCATAATTTTTGTTGTTTTTTCTTTCTGCAAAAAGCGCAAATACTTCAATATCGCGTCTTGTTGATTATTAAATCAATCAATAAATAAAAGGTATTGGCGATACATATCCCAAGTACACCATGATAATCATGGTAATAAATGGTTTAAAGGATGGTTTAAATT